TGCCAGGCGCCTCCGCACACGGTAGCACCGAGTGGCAGGAATTTCTCGCCTTCTTGACGCAGCCGCAACAGATACAGGGCCTGGCAGTTCAGGGCGGACTCACGATTTGCCCATCTTCGAATTTGTTGTCTCGTAGCAACAGTGCAATTCGGCACGGACGCTTTCGTCTCTCCCTCTCGCTCTCTCGCTCTCACTCGCTCACTGAATCTTTCTCGCGCGCGCACTTCCTCTCTTCTCTTTGGGGGGGGGGGGGGGGGGGGGGGGGGGGAGAACGAATAGGAGAGAATTGGTAGGATGTCGGCGTTTTTCTGGATGGAACCGGGCAAGGACGAGAGTAAAGGCAGATGGGAGAGGGGCCGTAAAATGCGACGAGGTGGATTGGAATGATGGCAAGGTGGGGTTGTCGCAACGGCGAAGACAGACAGATAAATTCCGACGAGCGACTAGGGTCTCATGGGTGCGTAACGTAACTGGCACCAGGAATACAACAGGTGGAACGGCGGGCAGAGTGAGGCCCCAGGCAAGAAGGGGGGAAAGGGAAACAAAAGAAGGATGTCAAGAGATATAACGCAGCAAGCAAGCAAGCAAGCAAGCAGACAAGCAGGCTACAGGCAGGTTTGTGACTTGGGGATTTGCCTGGCTGCGGCAACCTGGGCAGACTGGAAGAGCTGGCGGGCTGGCGGGCTGGCGGGCTGGGAGAAGAAGAACAAGTACCGCCAATGATGCTTTGTAAGAGCTCTGTATCTGTCTTGTCTGTCTCTTGGTTGTAACGTGGTAGGCTACCTCCAGGTACCTATTGCAGAAATGTACCTAGCTTGGCCTTGCGGGCTTTGCGGGATCGAGGCTAGGCCGCAACTCGCGTGCTGGCTGGCTGGCAGGCGGGCGGGCTGGGTCGCAGCTCGAGAGCGGATTGGACTAGGACGCGACGTGCAGGCATTAGCTGGGGACGACTCGTAATTTTGATGAAACTGGGATTCACCATATGCAAGGCACCTCTTATCGCCAGAGCGACTCGATCACTGAAAGGAAAAGGGGTGGGCCTAGCAATTACTTACATGATCCGACGGGGGAGGCTATTGCATGTCTTCTCTCGGAAGGGGAAAAAAGGGGGGACGAGGGGTTGTTCGAGGGGCGGGAAAATATGTACCTACGCCGATTCATGCACATATGACAATGGCACGGCAAATGCAGTTAACAGGGAGCAAACGTCATCCCACCTTCAATCTTGGCAGTCTCCCGTCCAGCATCAAGTTTTCACCTTGGTGCAATCACCGCGTCACAGCATCAACACATCACCTACATAAGTGTAACTACCTAAGGTAGACATCTAGGTATAGTATCATGTCCAGGTATTATTTTATGTACATACCTATATGTACACACACTGGGTATGTTTCTAGGTAGTCATACGTCGACGTATACGTCGAAGGAAGAGGCGTATAGGAAGCTCGTGGATCAAGTATGCGTAATGTGTATATGATGATATCAGACAACGGAAAAGATGTCGGCCCTGATATGGCTCGGTCGAGAACGCTATCTACAATGCTGAAAAGCTCAAACCTGACACCTCGCCCAGAGCCTGCCCAACTCGTTCATTCATTACCCCCCTTGCCCATGCTCTACTACCACCCGCCGTGCTCTGTCGTGGGAATATATCGTTCGGAGGCAGCTTATAACCGATCCCATGAGCTAGGCTGCTTCACTTCGTAAAGCTCTTTCTTTGTCTTGTCATTACGCCGGTTGCGGCCCTAACCGACGACAGTCTTCTGGCTCAAACCCTCGAGGAATCCGCCGAGGTCGTCCTTCCGAACCTCGACTACGCAGTTCTCGAAGCTGTCGATTCGTACTCGGGCATTCGTCTCGTTGACCACGTCTTGGAACGCGCTGCCGAATCTGTTTAGGCCGTAGCCGCGGTCTTTCCGTTCCTCTGCTTCTTCCTCAGAGTCCGAATCTGAATCTTCACTCGCCTCCGACTCCGTCTCTTCCTCGTCTTCGTCTTCGTTCCCCGCTGCCGCCCTTGCCGCCCGCTTCTCCTGTCTAATCTTGTCCTTGTTTTGCCGCTTCCGCTCTCTTTCCTTGGCCTTGGCTTCCTTGACTGCTTGCTTCTCTTTTGCTGCTTCCTTATCCAGGAATGTGAGGTCGGGTCCGCCGCCGCCGCCGGTACCGACTACAACATATACACCCCTTTTCTCATTCAAGCTTGCCACAACAAGCGGTGTGCCTCGACCGCCGTGCGCCAGCTTGCCGTTGTCGTCCTTCTCCTTCTCCGCGAGAGCCTCGCCGACCCAGATAGCAAGCTTTGTGAGTGCGGCCGGGTGGGTGAATAGGGCGACGTCAGGCCCGTCCTTGATAACGCAAAGCCGGAAGGCATGCAAGTGTTTGATTTGCCGTTTGCATATGAGTGAGCTTCCCGTGCGGAAAATGGCCTTGTGAAGATACTTGGCTATGGATAGGCCAGCTTTGAGCGCGTCAATGCTACACTACGTTAGCCGTCCGGAATACTGAAGTAGTTCACATGGTTCATTGACTTACTCTTCAAGGGCGTCGTATGCTTCCCAGAAACGACCAACCCACATCTGCGACTCGGCCGCACCGCCATCATCTTCTAACTCCTGCATCTGGCTTGTTCGGACGCGGCCATCGTCGTCGAGGATAGCGTTGCGTCTGCCCACTTCAAGCATGGCTCCGATAATCACTCCAACGTCTTGCGCACTCAAAGTCGCTCGCCAGCCCCAGCTTCGGACAAATCCCCATCCGTCTTTGGCGCCGCCCCGGTCTCTGCCGTCTGTGTCCACTGCAGGGACCATGTCATCGAGATTATAGAGTGAGGCATACTTGAGGAGCTTGGTCCGTAGCTCCTTTTTCAGCATCATATCCATGTGCGTGTAGTTCTGCTTGCATTGAACGAGGCTTACACCCATCTTGGCAAGTAGCTTGTGCAATCGTTTCAGGCCGCCGTCATTCCATGTGTGTAGCCTGGAGAAAAGGTACGGAGAGTGTAGCATACTTTCGTAAAGGCTCCAATGCCTGATTAGTAGAAACTTGGGCTCGGGAGACAACCGTATACTCGTGTCTTCGGGGTCTCTAGCAGTGGTCGGGATCACGCCGGCGCTGTCTGCCGACGGGAGTCTTCCTACAGCCGGCGGGTTAAGACGCCGCACCTCGTCTCTCAGGAGTTGCCGGATCCGAGCACCGCGAATCCCCATCCACCCGTTCGTCGGCTTAGCGTCAGAACTTCGGACTGTGACAGCGACGCCGGCCGAAGAGCGGCCATATAGCTCCATTGACGTGACACCAACGATCGTTAGCCAAAGCAAGTCGTTGTCTTCTCTACCTAGCTCCGATGCCAGGGAATAGATCATGGCACTAATGGGCTCCGAGTATGAAGATCCCATGCGATAATATTTCCGAAGCACGGTCTCCTTTTCGTGCCGCATCCTTAGTAGTCGCCTCCGAAGAGTACGGGCCGATGGGCTTTTGGTGGGCTGAGCTGCCGATGGTGGATTTTCTGCGTCGTCTGATCTCGTTATTTCGGAATCTTGTATCGATATTAACCTCCGCTGAGGAGGGCGTTGCGGCGAATCTAGAATAGGGGTTGACTAAGACATGGTTAGCATGGCCCTCGAAAGTCGACAAGGGGCTATCCTACCGTGTTGCTTCTTCTTCTCTGTCGCGGCCGATCGTCCTCGTCGTCGCTGCTTTCCTCGTCTCGGTCCGACCAAGATTTTCTCTTCTGGCCCGAACGAGGCGGCTCATTCTCTGCTTCCTCTCCGTCCTCAGAGTCGCTATCTCCGTACGGCTCATCGTCACCGTCGATATCAGGCATGTCAACCAACGCCAAGTAGGCTTCGCGCTCCGCATCCATACCCTCTTCGATATCACCGTCGTCGATTACTACAATTCCACCTTTCCCAGGCTTGTAGGTAGGACTGATTCGGCTCGAAACCACGCCATCAGGCGCACGTGCCTGATAGGTTGCCCGCGCCTCCGATCCTGGTTCTAAGGGATACCCTCCAAAGACATTGGCAAGGTTCCAGGGCCGATGAGAGTCGATGACCCACACCTCGACGCCATTGAAGCTTGGTTCTTTCTCATCTTCAGATTCGAGTCCCAGAATGGTGCCCATGTCGACCATGCCTCCTACACCGAGGCATACAACAACGCCTCCGCTTCCACCACGTGTCTCCATCATGGGGCTGACGAGCTCCTGCCCTGCGCGCTCGAGGTCGCCATAGCCGGCTACGGGGTGGATCTTGTGCGGAATGTAATCATGCTTGAGTAGCCGCGTGAGGATACGACAGGCGCAGAGGGCGTCGGGTTCGAGGGCGACGAGGATGAGGACTGGAGGTGAGAGCGGATGCCGGGTACTTTGCAGGTGAATATAGAGCTTCGATATGAGATCGCGTGGCAGATACATGGTTTTCGAGTACCTCGGCGTGTCTTCGAATGTACTACGGCGGCGAATTCATAGGATCGGTGGGGGAGCACGCATACACGGGTAGGCCGTGGGTGGTTGATGACCTTAAAGATGAAGGCTTAGGGTACGTGATGAGGGTCAATGTGACGAATAATTAGTTTACTAGTTGGCAAGTATTGAGGATTCCTAGAGAGGAGTCCTAGAAATTGATGCCTTGCCGGTTGAGAGAGGTAGTTTGGTAGGGATGCTACGAAGTACGGTCAAGTTGACCATTTAATGTGGGATGCGAGTCGCGGTACAATATAAGTGTTGACGCGCTCTCGAAAGTGGGTTAGACGCGACCTAATCCTTGGCTGGTAATTGACTATGCACTTAAGCAGATACACCACCAGGTACACCACCTGCATGTACTACCTACTCCCTATGCATTTAAACAATATTGCTCTTAGGCCCTGTCATGCTTTAAATACGAAAAACCGATATATTACAAGTAAAAATGATTTGATCCTTGGAAGAGTCAGCCTGTAAAAAATGATGAAGCGATGAGATAGATGGAAGGAAGAGAAAAAGAAAAGTTTAGAATCGACACGAGCAGGATTCGAACCTGCGCTCCCGAAGGAAATGCCTTCACAATCTTGCAAAGATAGCAGGGCATCGCGTTAACCACTCCGCCATCGTGCCCTAGCTGAGAGGGCTCAGTTGGCACAAGCCAATCACCTCGACCATCTTCTGACAATCACTTGGTAATCTGCACTTATATCTACCCCTCCTCAATTCTGCAGTACCCACTCGGCATGTTCCACTGTGCATTATACTGAAAGGAATAAAAGACAATATTGATGGGCACGATGAGATGCTTTTCACCTGACTTATACCATATTTGCCTACCTTTTATCCTTTGCTATGATCGGTTGTGGTTTGGTTGGACTTATAAAATCCATATCGATAGACTTGCGTCCTCCTTGCTCTTTCTCTTAGAGCTCTCCCGGCAGTCTAACAACTCTTAACCGCAATCATGTTCCTTTCCTTTCTTTGGAATAGAAAACCAAACATCTAGTCATTTAGGGGATGCATGCATGTCCAGAGTGCGGTGCCATCTGAGGATGTCTTCAATATCTCCGAAAGAGCAGCTCCGAAAGTCTTGTGCCAACGCAGCCGAAGCAATCCGGAAAGAGTGCAGCTCCTTATTATCAGCGGACGGGCATTCTACCGAATCTTCGTCGCTGGCTGGGTCTGGTCTGGCCTTGGTCGATCTGCTCTGCCGTCAAGCTGCTCTGGTCTGCGCTTGCTACCGAGATGTACAAACGGCGAAGAAACGAGCAGCTGAGATGTCTCTCGAAAAACACTCGCTTGTCTTGAGACGATTAGAAGACATACTCTCTGTCTCCTACGCCAAGTTCTACGCCTTTATTTTCAGAGATCTCTCTACTTTCTGGCGGCAGCTCTATACCGACGCAAGCATTCTCAAATTCTGCCTCCTTTTTCTCCATTGTCCCGACTTCGACTGTCAGGCCGCCAGTAGCGAAGCATATCAAGCGCCTCTAGATGGGGCACATTGCGATCTCGCTGAACTCGTCAAGGTTCTCGACCTCGCTTTGATCCTAGCCGGTGCCGCTGGTGAGCAGAGGGGCAGAAGGTGGGTGTACGATACTCTCGAACTTCTTTACGTGGTCTGGAGCGAGGCTGCTGCTTCACGGGATATCTTAGCATCCGGGCCTCCTAAGAAAAGACCGAGGCTGGCACAGGTCACAAACGAAGTCCCTTCGACTGATGTGATCGATGTAAAGGGCGTCTTTTCCAACGTCGAACCATTCACACCACCTGTGAAGCATCCCATTGAACGTGTCGATGATCTGCCTATGGAAGCATTTCAAGCATACATGGACAGTCCTCGGGACGTCGATCTCGGACCTGAACCCCTTATCATTCGAGGTAGCATTCATCATTGGCCAGCCTTTACCACAAACCCTTGGAATAAACCAGCCTACCTCCTTTCGAGAACCTTTGATGGGCGTAGGCTGGTGCCTATCGAAGTTGGCCGCAGCTACGTGGATCAGGGCTGGGGTCAGAAAGTCGTCACCTTTGGCGAGTTCCTCAGCAAGTATATCGACACATCCCTAGCAGGAGCCCGAGGTGAGTTGGGCGACAATCCTGCAACGCCTTCGTCGCCGAAGGGGAGCACTGCGTACTTAGCTCAGCACCCTCTCTTCACACAGCTGCCATCACTGCGGAATGATATCCTCATTCCGGACTATTGCTATACTGCACCACCACCACACCCGACGGATCCTCACATGGACCAGCCGGAACTCGACGAGCCTCTTCTCAACGCCTGGTTTGGGCCGCCAGGCACCATCACGCCGCTACACACGGACCCATATCATAACATACTGACGCAGGTCGTGGGGCGGAAGTACGTGCGTCTCTACTCACCGCTGCAGACAGAACACATGCACGCGCGAGGAAGAGAGAATGGGGTCGAGATGGGAAACACTAGTCTGATGGACGTCGGCGTAGTTGAGGGTTGGGATGACTTGTCTGATTTTGAACACGATGGCCAGCACACCCAAGAGAACCTGGACGTGTTTAGAAAAGTGCCGTTTCTAGATTGCATCCTAGAGCCCGGCGATGCTCTCTACATCCCAATTGGATGGTGGCATTATGTCCGGGGCTTGAGTGTGAGCTTCAGCGTAAGCTTCTGGTGGAACTGATGTCTACACGATATCGATTTCACATTTGATCACTTGCTGCGTCGTCACCTTTATATGACTGGAGGCTGATGATCAGGCCTGGCTCAGGTACATACACGAATATGTATATAAGGGGCCCTAGGGGGGATCCGTATGCAATTAGACGTGGTCAGCTCAACTATCGGGACGGCATAGCATCTCCATGCGATAAATGGCTGCCTGTGGACCTACAGCAGCAGTATACAACAGCAGTATACGACAGTAGTATACAACGTCGAAACAGTCATCTAGGCGCCGAGATAATACCTCGTCGATTTACTGCTACCATCGACACGGACTACCTGTAAACGGAGAATGAATGCGCTCGAGTGCTTCCTTGACATCTCGATAAGACACGCATAATACCTTGCTCACGACGCAAACCTGTCCCAGCATGGACACCCCCGATCAAGATCGAGATGTTCTTCTCCAGAAGTTTTCAGCAGACCTAGTCGCTGATTTTGATCATTCTCTTGTACATTTTCTGAGGAAGCCCAATGGCCAGCTACGGAGACGCGTGCGAATGAGAGAGGCAGCAAGGTTAATGTGTAGTGTAAGTATGATCCCGCTAGCACGGTGAGGAAAGGAGGGCTCATGAGTCTTCTCAAGGTCCTAGAGCCGTTCCAGGAGCTCCCTCAGCTGCTTGACCCGCATCTTCCCAGATGGCTGCCCGTGATAGCAGATGCATATCTGGGGTGCTTGCAGGATCGTGCGAGATCAAGATCGCTGTCTATGCGGTCCCAGCTCTTGATCCCGCTCTCCGATGCCCTATGCAGGATGCTCTATACGTTCTGTAAGATCCGAGGAGAAAAAGTCATTGCTAGGTTCCTGAACGTAGAGACCAAGTACCTAGAGCTCCTGCTTCTGAACTTGGAGGATTTGGAACGTACGCACGACTCTGCTCCTTCCGGGGCCTGGCACGAGAGATACGTTGTTTTGCTATGGCTGTCTCAACTGTTCTTCGCTCCTTTTGATCTTTCGACTATATCATCTGGCGATGCTGACGACCTCGATCGTTCTGTCGTCCCTGGGTTCGACTGGCCGCCACAGATACCCGGTATCACCTTGAGAATCATTCCTCTGGCTGCGAAGTATCTCGCGTCCCCTGGGAAGGAGAGAGACGGGGCCAAGGCTCTCCTAGTACGCGTTGCGATGCGCAAAGATATGCAGGAGCTAGGCATATTGGATTCTCTCGTTCGCTGGGCTTTATGGAAACTGAAGCCATCAAAAGATATGCCACTCGAATCTCCGTACTATTACATCGGCACCTTGTCATTCTTGGCCGGGATTCTGGGTGCCTCGGCCGATACCTCTGTCATGGATTCGCACCTGGCTGCCATTTTCCGTACTACACAAGCTATAGCCGGGGAAGAAAACCCGGTCTTTGACATTATCAACGGCTCCGCGCTCGCTCGCAAGATGATGATCAAGGTTACACGTTCAGTAGCCATCCTGATACTACGGAAGCAGCATCAGTCCAATACCGACACCGAGATGGTAGAGACGGCTATTGGGTACCTGCTTGAGAGGCTGGCAGACAATGACACGCCGGTACGGTTTGCTGCTAGCAAAGCTCTCAGTATTATTACACTCAAGCTGGAGCCTGACATGGCCTCCCAAGTCATCGAAGCTGTTCTGGAGTCGCTTAACCGCAACGTCCTTTGGGTCAAGAACAAGACTGACTTGTCGGCTACCCCTACTCGGGATCTCGCGGCCGTCGACCCCCTCGAGTGGCATGGCCTGATGCTTACTCTTTCTCACCTTCTGTACCGCAGGTCACCGCCCCCCGACAACCTGTGTGACATCATCCATTCTCTTCTGATAGGGCTCTCGTTCGAGAAACGAAGTCCGTCGGGCGCATCAATTGGCTCAAACGTCAGAGACGCATCTTGCTTTGGTATATGGGCGCTAGCGCGTCGATACACGACGTCTGAGCTGCTCCAGGTAGAGACAAAGTCAGTATTGGTTGCTAGAGGACACGACCCTACCGCGTCGATGATACAAGTCATCGCAACCGAGTTGGTGGTGACAGCGTCTCTCGATCCGGCGGGGAATATCAGGCGCGGCGCGTCGGCAGCTCTTCAGGAGTTAATCGGCCGGCACCCCGACACCGTGGAGAAGGGAATTGCCGTAGTGCAAACAGTTGATTATCACGCCGTCGCCCTCCGCTCCAGAGCAATACACGAGGTAGCTTTGCGGGCAACCAGGCTCTCACCGCATTACGGGCGCGCCTTGTTAGAGGCAACCCTCGGGTGGCGAGGTATCGGGGATATGGACACTGGTGCTCGTAGAGTAGCGGCCGTTTCGTTTGGCTCTCTGACGGCAGAGCTTGTGGAGGCACAGGTTTCCGAGCCCACTGAACGCATCACCAGCTCCTTTAACTTGCTCCTATCCCGAATTGGAGCTCTCCAAGTTAGACAAGTCGAAGAGCGACACGGACTCTTACTGAGTCTTGCAGCCGTGTTGGACCTCATCCCGTCTTTCCTCGCGGCTGGACATGACAAGTTCATCCAAGAGCTGCCGTTGACCAGAGTTATCACTGCTGTGACAGAAATTCTGCAACATTCAAAAACGACAAAATATCGAAAGCCAGAACTGATTGCCGAGGCTGCCGGTAGACTTGTAGTGTCTATAACCCCGGCTCTCATAGTGAGCAATACAGAGGCAAGCCTCCTGGGAGCTCGAGCAGCAAATCTACAACCAGGGCCTGTCATTGTCGGCGATTCTGGCTCTGATGCTCTAAAGTCAGTTGCCGACTCGCTGAGCGAGCAACAGGCTAGCTACACCCAAGAAACTCATGAATTACTAGCGATCGCGCAAGATGCTCTAGAAATATGGCTCGACAGAAACGAAACTGAGGTGGTAGAGACCGCCTCGAAGGCTGCTCTGGCCCTGCTCGTCTTTCATGACCAAGAACGTCGCAAGAGGATCGTCGAAGACTGGGCCGACAAA